TTTTCACCCAGGTCAGATTGGCAGAGACCCTGGGGTTTTTTTTTTGCCTTCCTCTGTAGCATGAGGCACAGGTCACTTGAAGGTTTAAACTAGTGTAAATGAGGAATTCTCTATAACTTGAAGCCTTTAAATCTAGGGTTGCCAATTTTGATTGGATGTATTCCTGGAGATTTCACGACATAATCTTTAATTCCTGGAGACTCCAGGCCAATCCTGGAGGGTTGGCAACCCTGTTTAAACCATCCATTGAGGACTTCAGTAACTCAGCCAGAGGTTAGGAGTCTATTTCAGGAGTGGGTGAGTGAGGTTCTGTGGTCTGCAATGTACAGGAGGTCAGACTGGATGATCACAATGGTTCTGTCTGACCTTAAAGTCTATGAGCCTCTTGCCTGCAGGGCCCAATCTGGTAGGTGTGCTCAGAGGCCATCTACAGGATAGGAGGTGACAGTCATCTTATAACTCTCAGCCCAGCAATTAGAGCACTCGTCTGGGGTTCGGTAGAGCCCAGTTCAATTCCCCACATCTGTCTGATTGGCAGTGGGAGTTTTGAAACAGCGGTTTCCAATGTCTGAGTGCCTTAACCACTGAGCTATGGGATATTCTGAAAAGGGAGGGGAGGGGTATCTCCCTCACTCTCCATTGGAACTGTTCTACTTTGGATAAATACTTAAATAGTCATTGGGCCAGAGACAGTCAGGGTACATCTACACTGGGGTGGGAAGCCCCATGGCAGTGAGTCTGAGTCCAGGTCAACTGACTTGGGTTTGCATTAGGAAGCCAAAATTAACAGCATAGATATTCCTGCTCAGGCTAGAGCTCTGAGACCCACCCCTCTTGCTGGGTTTCAGAGCCGTGGTTCCAGCCCAAGTGGGAATGTCTATTCTGCTATTTTTTTTAGCCCCACAGCATGAGCCCAAGTCAGTTAACCTGGACTCTGAGACTTACTGCTATGGAGTTTTTTCAGTGTACCCAGACTCTATTGCTTGGTGGCACCTAGTTGGGAGATGCAGGATCTGCTCCAATAACTTTATTTATCCAAAGTAAAACAGCTTCAACAGGAGATACTGAGAGAGCCCCACACTGCAATATCTCCTAGCTCAGTGCACCCTCCTAAGGGGTAGGAGACCTCTTGTTCAAATGCTTCTTCCCAACCAGTATAAAGGGGAAACTGAACATGGCTCTAATTGGTGAGCTAAAAGTTTATCATTTGGGCATCACCACCTGCTCCAGCTGCTTTATGTTGAGTGAGGCAGGAACCTAATGACAGGTTTCAGAGTAGCAGCCGTGTTAGTCTGTATCCGCAAAAAGAACAGGAGTACTTGTGGCACCTTAAAGACTAACAAATTTATTAGAGCATAAGCTTTCGTGGACTACAGCCCACAGCTTAGGTGCTTAGGCAGCCTGACTCCGGGAGCAGGGTTCCCAGTTGTGGATACAAGCAGAGTTAGATGCCTCCCTCCAGCCCAGAGTAAAGCACCACACTGAGTGAAAGCAAGGGGCCTATGACATGCTTCTCATCAGCATCTGCTATTGGCTAGCTTAGGTGGCTCCCTGCCTAGCATGCTGGCTTTTGTGGATCCCATTCTTAGGTGCCTATACAAAAATGGGGGAGAGAGGTGCCTAACTCAGGCTTTGTAAATCCCATTGTTTCAGGTTGGTTTGTGTTTGTGTGGTACTGTCTTTCTCTCTCTCTCCCCCCCCACCCCTACATACCTAGAAGTTAGGTGCTGTGATGCTAACCCTGGAGGCACCTAAAGCCATTTGAGTACGTCTACACTGCAGTTAGACACCCACAGCTGGCCTGTGCCAGCTAACTTGGGCTTGGGCTAAGGGACTAATTGTAGTGTAGATGTTTAGGCTTGGGCTGGGGCCCCACCTCTAGGACTCTGCGAGGTGGGAGGGTCCCAGAGCTCAGGCTGGAGCCCAAGACTGAACGTCTACACTGTAATTAAATTAGCCCGAGCTCTGAGAGCCCAAATCAGCTGGCATGGGCCAGACGTGGGTTTTTAATTGCAGTGTTGACATACCCTATGTGGATCCAGGTCTCAGCTTGCAAAATGAAAGCTACACTTCTGAAGAATCTGTATGTCATGCAGACCACATAAATACATTAAATGGGCTGGATCTGTTTTGTGATACTACTACTGGGACATGCTATATCAGAAGCTAATCAGCAGGAATAGACATGTTAAAACTAATTTAAGTGTGTCCACACAATAGGCTTGCACTGACTTAACTAAGGGCTTGTCTACACTGGTAATTAACAGCGCTGCCCCTTTCTTGCTCAGGGGTGTGAAAAAACACACCCCTGAGCACAGCAAGTTGCTGCACTGTAAAGCGCCAGTGTAAACAGTGCCCCAGCGCTGGGAGCTACACCCCTCATTGAGATGGGTTTTTTAGCTCTCTCCCAGCGCTGCGCTGCGACCATACAAGGCATGCTAAATCGCTGCTGCAGCAGCGCTTTAGCTTTGACAGTGTAGACTAGCCCTAAATCTGTTCCTAAACCGATTTTAGTTAAATCAATACAACTCTTGTATGGAAGATCTAATTCACCTCAAGAAGGCTTTACTTCAAAAAGTAGGAAAAGCCATTGAACTCTTATCCCTATTAAGAACACAAAAGAAACATCCAAAAGGGAGACAAGGTGGGCCTACATCTTACCCCTCCATGTACACCCCACCAGCACAATGTTTCTTCCACAATGGATTCTTTGTAGAAGGCTCCTGCCTTCCAACCTAATTGCCTTTCTTAGAGCATTTTCCCTGGTCCTTCGTTCTTGGCATTTTTCAAACCTTCTGTAACTTTGTCACTGACATCTTCCTTCCCAATTAATTTTAACTGCTTGGATCTTCGTGTTTTTATTTTTGCTGACCTCCATGTTACCTGTCAGCTCTGTGTTCTTAGGGAACCAGGGCACACGCAGTATCCAGCCTGTCTGACTCAGGAAGGACATCGCCCACCCTCTGCTTGAATCAAAATCTATCAGAAGACTTACAAAAAGCAATGAAAAGGCAGTGAGACACACCTAAACCCCTGTGGAGAGGGGTGACAGGATTAAAGCAACTCCCCTAGCCTCATCTGCATCAAAGATGGGACAGAGAAGCATCTCCATCAGCATACAGAATGGAGAAGAGAGATTCCAAGCAGTGGCATAGCCAGGTGGAGGGAAGAAGGGGAGCGGGGGAAAAAAGTGCCATCTGCAGGTCTTCGGCGGCATTTCGGCGATGAAGCTTCAGTTCCGCCGAAGACACCCGAAGCGAGTGAAGGTCCCGCCGCCAAAGACCCAGAGCGCTGCCCCGTCAATAAAAGCGCCGCAGCTTTTTTTCCCCCCGCTCCCGGGTGAGTAAAATTAAAAAGGCACCACTTGTGCTCGGTGGGGGAACAGCCACTCCTCTCTTCCCCATCCCCTCCACCAGCTATGCTACTGATTCCAAGGCAAGAACCACACTGAACTCTGGGACCAGAAAAGCAGGGAAGCACTGCATAATGGGGGATCTCTGCTCCAGATGTTAATGAACCCATACCTGCACACACCCAGCTCAGTAGTTATCAAACCAATTCTAGTAATAAACCAGTGTTGACAGGCCAATCAGGGTGGATGTAGTCCACTCCCAATAATAGATGAGGAGGTGTCAATTCCAGGAGAGGAAAAGCTGCTTCTGTAAT